TAACCACATTGTTTACCATTCAATTAATAATTTAACCTCTTCTTGAACAAACTACTTGTATAACTAACCACATTGTTTACCAGTTAATTAATAATTTAACCTCTTCTTGAACAAACTACTTGTATAACTAACCACATTGTTTACCGTTAAATTAATAATTTAACCCCTTCTTGAACAAACTACTTGTATAACTAACCACATTATTTACCAGTTAATTAATAATTTAACCCCTTCTTGAACAAACTACTTGTATAACTAACCACATTGTTTACCAGTTAATTAATAATTTAACCCCTTCTTGAGCAAACTACTTGTATAAGCAGCACCTTTTACAGTTAACTTCTATATACAACAATCTTTTCAACAATGTACTAATATAACCAATATTTTTTCCAACTGTCTATTCACATAACCAATAATCTTCTTTAACAATCTATTCACGTAGCCAATAACTTTTCAACAATCTGTTCGCGTAACTACTAATCTTCTTAAACAATCTACTTTGTTCTTTCCCTCATCTGGTCGTTACAAGTAACCCGTTTACTCCTCATCTAGCCATGACATCTGGAGCCTTGTTTTCTGACAGTGAAGTTACTTCCAGAAATACTGTGGAAAAGCAACTTCACGCCCATCCCCACAGAGGGCATGCACCATCAGATGGCACACGGCGAATGGCTCCCGTAGTGGGGGCGAGCCCGGAGAAGGAAGCGATGGCCAGGATGGAAAGTGATGGATCAGAGACAAGCTCAGCCTCGAAGCTGAGTATCAACAGTGCCTTCTCTACTCAATCCGAACGACCCAGGGGCAGTCGGACTCTCGGGTAACTCTCGATAAAAACACGTTTCAACTTAATAACAAAAAACAAAGCCGAATTAGCAAATAAACTTTACATTTATGATGTAGGAAAACTGGATAAAAAAATTTCATCCTTCTGGAATGATTGGGAAAGGACTTTGTCACACGATTTTACATTCTCAGAATTATTTTTCTCTATGTAATACAAATGTGCTGTACTCAAAAATGCGCCCCCCCCCCAGTAGCACAGTGGTATGTCTGCGGACTTATACTGTTAGAAACCGGGTTTCGATACCCGTGGTGGGCAGAGCACAGATAGCCCTTTGTGTAGCTTTGTGCTTAATAATAAACAACAACAACAACTCAAAAATGCATGAAATTATTGTCATTTTATTCTGCTCCCTCCCCCAGTGGCACAGCGGAATGTCTGCGGACTTAAAACGCTAGAATCCGGGTTTCGATACCCGTGGTGGGCGGAGCACAGATAGCCCATTGTGCTTAATTACAAACAAACATTTTATTCTGTAAAGTAAATTAGGGCAGTAATTCCCGATACGTTTTTAGAGCTCATACATTCCGTTTCAAGATATGTTTGGTATAAATGAAATAATTTCGAGAAATTCTTAAATGTGATGATGGTGGTTCTCAAACACAGGAAAAGTTGAACTTTCAGAAATTAAAATATCCGTAACTTCAAATAAGTGGATAAAGTAGAGTTTCAGCTTAACTGAATCAAAAGCTCAGTTTGTTTGTGTAAACTTCACTTGATTGGCGCCAAACTATCAGACAAAGCCCGCTAAAACCAAAATGTAAGACAGCGACTCGAAAACACTGTGTAATCACCGAAAGCATTGGAATCTGATTGGCCTAACATATATGTGATAGAACTCTTCGAAACCGAAGATGTTTTATCACAATTCTGTTTTGAAAGCTGAAAGGGAAATATAAAAAACAAACCAAATCTAATCTGCAATCTAAATGATTTTATCATAATTATTAGGCCTAATGGATTCCAAACCATTACTATGATAGTATTGTACTGCACTGTCTTTATAAGTAGCGTTTCAAATTAACTGTTGACATCTTACCACCCAGCCCAACTGACGAGTTCTGGTATTGCACGAAAGGCCAGTGACTTGTTGGAGACAAGGACTAAATCAGAAAAGTTATTTTTATTCACTCTTGGTTTTAAATCCGAAAAAATAAACATAAGGAGGAGTATGAAGGACAAGTTATCTCTCGCTGTAGTCCAAGTGCTTTTTATCACTCGCTGTAGTCTAAGTGGTTTGTATCACTCGCTGTAGTCCAAGTGCTCTTTATTATTCGTTGAAGTCCAAATGTTTTTATCAATCGTTGCAGTACAAGTGCTTTTTATCACTCATTGCAGTACAAGTGCTTTTATCACTCTCTGTAGTCCAAGTGCTTTTTATCACTCGTTGCAGTCTAAGTGTTTTTATCACTCGCTGTAATCTAAGTGCTTTTTATCACTCGTTTCAGTCCAAATGCTTTTTATCACTCGTTGTAGTCCAAGTGCTTTTTATCACTCGCTGTAATCTAAGTGCTTTTTAGCACTCACTGTAGCCCAAGTGCTTTCTATCACTCGTTGAATGAAAATAAAACCGTTAAGAGTTGTAACTCGGGTAACTTGTACCATTAATTATATTGTAACGTATCTGTTCGTTTGTTAATTTCCAAAGAACTTCAGCGACACAAGTCCTTTCTTAAATAAAACTAGTTTATTCTTTCTCAATACAGCTTTGCAATAAATAGAATTTCCACAGTCAGTTTAACTTAAACACACGTTATAATTCACAACGATTAACGCACTTTAATTACGGTCACTACCGCTCACTTGACTCAATTATCTATCTCTATATCTCCCTTCAATCTGCTATTATTTCTCCGCTTTATTTGCCGGTCTTATATACTAAAATGGAGGGCGCCTAGAAAAGACTAGAGTTGCCAGGAACAGTCATGACCCTTCTAGAAACTCCAGCGCACATGCTTCCAGAGTCACGTGACTTCCGCTGTCGTAACAATATTGATAGAAGAAGACATTCAGCCAAGTTATAGCCTAACTTGACTGGGGAATATTTGACTCTTGGTTCTTCATGGACTAGGAACCCCCCCCCCCCAGTGGCACAGCGGTATGTCTGCGGACTTACATCGCTAGAAACCGGGTTTCGATACCCGTGGTGGGCAGAGCACAGATAGCCCTTGTGTAGCTTTGTGCATAATTACAAACAAACAAACAAAATGGACTAGGAATTACGGAACAAAAAATATTATGAAATTCTTGGTTTGATAACTCTATCATTAATCAGTTGAACTAGTTGGATTGATATATGTATCATATCTTTATTTAAAAGTATTCCAGTTACATGGCTTTTTTATTGTTTCTCAAGTTAATGTATGACTAGCAGTAAACCTGAAGCCAGTTTAAGCTTTATTAAAGATTACTTAACTATTGTGTAGATTAATTGGGTTTATCTTTCTTTTTTAGGATCACTAATTCTCTATGTAGCAGAAATGATGAGAGTTTATTTGTTCTGGAAGCTATAATATCATCTCTTTTTCTTGTTAGTTTCATTAACAGTATTTTTAAAAGGCCATATTTATTTATTTATTGTATATACATGTATGTATTCATATCATCATAAGTAAGAACGTTATATTGAATTAGCTATGTTTATTACTGGTTTAATTTTGTGTTCTCATTTGATCAAAAGTTAAAGACAGATGTCGCTAAACTTCTGAAGATTTTTTGTTTGTTTGTTTGTTTTAGTGTAAAGCCACACGGGAAATCGAATCCCGGATTTTACCGTTGTATGTTTCTTAAACTTACCGGTAATCCACTGGGGGTACTTCTAAAGAAACGGTATTAACGTACTAACTGATGTTGAAGGATACCAAAAATAAAGTTTACATCAAACTGACTTAAATTGAGAAAAAACGGAGCTGTGTTAACGGTTAAGTTTTTGTTGAGATTCGAGTCCTGTTATACGTTTCCTCTTACTGTAAAACCCACTCTTTCAGCGAGTTCACCACCACAATGCAGGGTTGTGGACCGGTGCATCCGCCTCGGCCTGCTGAAGAAACTCGGGACAAGGGCCTTGGTGAGGAAAAAGACGACGGAAGCCTTTCAGATACGGCAGTAGGCACCACAACGACAAAAAGTAAAATAGTGGAACGGCCAGGGGGTGGAGGCAGTACTCGGGGAGGGGGTAAAATGGCTCAGCTGGGTCTGTCTAAAAGGAGTAACAGCACCTCACAACTGAGTGTAACTGGTAAGAAAGACATTGTCGTTTATGAAAACCCGAAATATTTCACTTGACCAGAATATGATTAGACACATCGTTAATTATGTCTCAGTTGTCCTTTCATAGTGGTTTTCTGTAGATATAGATGAAAAAAAAAATTATAACCATAGAAATGAATAATATAAAACAATGTTTTGCTGAATCAAAAGTCGAGAGTTAAGTAAATCGCAATAATTTACAATGTAATTAAGTAAAACTGTGTAGTATTTGTTTTTAATCTGATCATCATTGTAATCCTTGTCTGGAACTTTTTTATTCTCTACACCAACTAATCTCACCTCTTAAAACTCATTGTTGTAAGACAACCTAGATGAGCAGGGTGGATATGTTAGTAAGCATCCATCACATGTGTTAGTAAGCATCCATCACATGTGTTAGTAAGCATCCATCACATGTGTTAGTAAGCATCCATCACATGTGTTAGTAAGCATCCATAACATGTGTTAGTAAGCATCCATAACGTGTGTTAGTAAGCATCCATAACGTGTGTTAGTAAGCATCCATAACGTGTGTTAGTAAGCATCCATAACATTTGTTAGTAAGCATCCATCACGTGTGTTAGTAAGCATCCATCACTAAGCATCCATCACGTGTGTTAGTAAGCATCCATCACATGTGTTAGTAAGCATCCATCCAATGTGTTAGGAAGCATCCATCACGTGTGTTAGTAAGCATCCATCACATGTGTTAGTAAGCATCCATCACATGTGTTAGTAAGCATCCATCACGTCATTTTTCTGTGGTTCATCAAATTTTTGGGCAAGGCTTCTTGTACAAGAAACTTTGTATCAAATCAAATCATTCCAGATAAACCTTTACCTTTAAATGTACTTAATCCAGGTTTCCTAAGTTATAATTACTGACATCTCCACTATTCTACCGTTAGGTCTTCAGAGTAGTAACTTAAAATACATTTTCTTCTTTACAGTCACAGATTAAGTGTCCTCCCTGACCTCCATAATGGTAACTTCCACACTACTTCTTATGACTTCATTGGTATTTTTCGTGGGATCCTATGTTTTACACTTCAAGCGTATTGTACAATGTTTCTAGTTGCTCCTATACTCTCATTGTTCATCGACATTACAATGCCTCTTGCATTCCTTTGCATAGTGTCCAGCACCTCAATACCTTTTCCAGCTCTCACTTACGTAGTGTACATTGATTCTACACCATCTATCAGCAGTCCCTTACGTAGTGTCCATTGTTTCTGCACATTTTCAAGCAGTCACTTATGTAGTGTCCATTGATTCTATACCATCTTCCAGCAGTCCCGTTTAAGAGACAGATTGAAGATGTGCAGAAACAATGGACACTATGTAAGGGACTGCTGGAAGATGGTGTAGAATCAATGGACACTATGTAAGGGACTGCTTGAAGATGTGCAGAAACAATGGACACTATGTAAATGTGCAGAAACAATGGACACTATGTAAGGGACTGCTTGAAGATGTGCAGAAACAATGGACATTATGTAAGTGACAGCTTGAAAATGTGCAGAAACAATGGACATTGTGTAAGTGACAGCTTGAAAATGTTCAGAAGCAATGGACACTGTTTAAGGGACAGCTTGAAGATGTGCAGAAGCAATGGACACTCTTCAAGCTGTCCCTTAAACAGTGTCCATTGCTTCTGCACATTTTTCAAGCTGTCACTTACATAATGTCCATTGTTTCTGCACATCTTCAAGCAGTCCCTTACATAGTGTCCACTGTCTCTACAACTCTCTTGTAATCCTTTGTGCGATGTTAAATATATGTACACTTTGTTATTTCCTTAAATGTTGTTCAGTGTCTATACAAATCCTATTACAGTTGTTTACATGGTGTTCAGTGTCTATACACATCCTATTACAGTTGTTTACATGGTGTTCAGTGTCTATACACATCCTATTACAGTTGTTTGCATGGTGTTCAGTGTCTATACACATCCTATTACAGTTGTTTGCATGGTGTTCAGTGTCTATACACATCCTATTACAGTTGTTTACATGGTGTTCAGTGTCTATACACATCCTATTACAGTTGATTGCATGGTATTCTGTGTCTATACACATCCTATTACAGTGTCTTGCATGTTTTCCTATGTTTATGAACATCCTATTTTAGTTTCTTACATGTTGTCCAGTGTCCTTAAACATCCTACTGCAGCTTCTTGCATTTGTTCAGTGTATATACACTTCCTGTTGCAGTTTCTTGCATGTTGTCCAGTGTCTTACCATATCCTATTGCAGTTTTTTTTAATGGTGTCCAGTGTCTATACACCTCTTTTGTCAGTATCTTGCATGCTGTCTAGTATCTATACACTTCCTTTTTATTTATTTTTTGCATGCTGTCCAGTATCTATACACATCCTTTTGCAGTGTCTTATATGATATCTAACATTTCTACATTTCCTCTTGCAGTTTCTTGTGTGGTTTCTAACCTTTAAACTAATTGCAGTCCTTGCATACTGTTATGTCTCTACACTTTCTCTTGCAATCCTTTGCACATTGTACAGTGTCTCAATACTTTCCCTTGCAGTCCCTTGTGTAATGGCCAATGTATTTACACTTCGTTTGTCTCTTCTTTGCATTGTATCCAGAGTCTCCACGCTTCCTCTGCAGTTTATTGTACGATCTTTAGTGCTTCTACAGCTTGAATTGTTTATCATAGTGGCCATTATCTCATCTTTCAGTCCTTTGTGTGGTGTACATTGTCTCTACACTTTCAATTGTTTACCATAGTGGCCAGTATCTCATCTTTCAATCCTTTGTGTGGTGAACATTGTCTCTACACTTTCAATTGTTTACCATAATGGCCAGCATCTCATCTTTCAATCCTTTTTGTGGTGTG